ACTCTCAGCTCTGAGGCCACCTGCATTTCTCGGGCCTCGGCCCTCTCCACCTTCAGAGTCAGCAGTGGCACATTGAATCCTTCTCACGTTCCGAATCTCTGACTACTGAGTATTGCTGCTTTTACCCTTGAGTAAACTGAGGCACAGGGAGGGTAAGTCGTATACCCACAGTCACACAATAAAGAGATGAAAAGAAAAGGTGTGCAAAATACTTGTCACAGTCCTTGCCCCCGAGTAAGGGCCAGATGTAGGCTGTTATTTTTGGAACTGCGCGATCACAGGGAGCTAGGCGCTGCTGTAGGTGATCGGAGGGAGGAAGGTGATCCTGTTGATAACCGTTTCCTGGCTTTAAATATAAAGCTGATTTCATTCTGAACATCGCATGTGTGTTTTCCCCAAGAGTTCCCAAAGCCTTTTCTTTGCAGTCCCTCTATTTGATCCTCCTGGCTGCCCCATGAGGTCATCTCTAGGCCTCAGAGATGTTATTCTCTGTGGGATGTTATTCCTCACCCTTTTTGACATTTGCCTCCTGCCTGGTTGCTGGAAGTTTTCTCCAGGAGCCAAGGCTAAAATTTGGCTTTCTGAAGGCTTTGTAGTTTGAGCCCACTGCTAGTTGCTTCTCCACGGCCAACACCAAAAATCCCCTGAACACCATCTGACTCACTCCAAGAGGGAATGATCTGGAGACCTGGGGAGTCCCACACGCCAAGCTCTCCTTTCTTCCCGCGATTGGCTCTTGCGATGAACACGCCTCCACAGATTGGCAGGTCCCGCAGGCCCTCCGGGACTGAGGCTGTGACGAGGCTGGAATGCTGCTGGGAGGAATGTGAGTGAATGGGACCTTTGAGTAGCCCTCTGGGGCCCAAACCCAGCTTCCCAGAGCTCCTGAATGGACATCTGTCCTGGCTCAGCCGCAGAAGGCCCATTGACCACAAGGCAGCCTTGTGACCCTCAGAGGCCACAGGCCCAGCGTGTGGCCCAGCACTGCATTTCTTGTCTAGGGCCTCCAGCATGGAGGCAGCTCCTTGCTTGCACAGCTTTTCTCATCTCCATCTTCTGAGCATTCTCTGCCCCACTGTTTGGATGCGGTAGACCCGCGGTCAAGCAGCCAGTGAGGGCTCTGGAAGGCCAAAGCAGCTCTTCCATTCCTGGTGACCACACTGCCCTCACGGCTTCACCAGGCGGGACTGTGAGTTGGGGACAGATGTTCCTGGTGTGGCACTGCTAGGAAAACTAAGCACAACTTGATGCTTTCAGAGTCACCATGATTTTAGAGTTGCTTCAGGAGTTTAGTAGTAGCCGTTCAGGAATTTCACTTTCAGCTGCAGTAGCTGCTCAAAATGAGCACTTCTTTAGCCCAGAGGAGGCCACTAATGATTAGACCCATTTCACTTTTTAAAATGACAGCATTGCATTAGAGAATATATATAAAGGTTATATTAGGTTATGTTAGGATATATACTTGAATGGAAATCTGTGGTGTAGTATAATTATAACAATCCTTATGTAATATTTCATTTATCCCTATAATTCAAAAAACAAAGAAGTACAATATAGCTTATGTTTAAGAGTATACACACTGGTATATAGATTTTTTGTTGTTAATCCTTACTGAGGATATTTTCATTGATTTTAG